TATTTTATTTTATTTTTATTTTTTATTTTTTATTTTTTGGTTTTTATTCGAAATAAATCCAGCCTTCCCACCTCCACGCTCTTAGGTCGCAAGAACCACATGCACTTTACAGGTCTGAGTTGTGAAGTAGCGCCAAGGACAGCTTCGCGGCTGGGTTTTCTTCCCTTTCCAAGCTCTCGGGTGCCGGGCGATGGGCGCTGGCCCTAGGAGTTCGTCCCGCGCCTCGACCCTTCTGCATTGGAGCGGACAATGCAGCGACCCTCTCGGGCGTTTTATTTTGCCGGGGGGCATCTTTAATTCTGACTGGTTGTAGCAGCAAAAATGGGGTTTGATTTGATTTTTTTTTTTTTTTTTTTATTTTCCGCAGAAGGGAAAAGAAATGGGCTTTTCCCCTCTGCCGTAGAGACCAACGTTATCATTTCAGCTGTTGATCGTCTCTCTCCTCTTCTTTTCTTTCTTTTTTTTAACTTAAAAAGGAGAAGAAAAAAAAACCATTAAAAAAAATCAGCAGACCCAGTACTCGGTAATGGCTGTTTTGGAAGCCTTGGGGCTAATATTTATAGACATTAATTACCTGACTGAGCCAATACTGACTTAGAAGTCCTCCTGTTTGGTTTTTTTCCTCGTCTGACTTCCCCCCACTTCCCTCCGCCCTTTGTCAGGAGATCTGTGCAAATAGAAACCCCCCGTGTGACGTGTTTTTTGTCCGTAAAAGTCCTTTTTTGTGTGTTTTTTCGGGGAGGGGTGGACGCGGGAGGGGCAGGGGAGGGTACTTTTGATCTTCGTTATATATATATATTTTTTTTTTTTAAATTCCAGCAGTGTGGATGGAAATAAACACTTTTTTTTTTCCCCCTTTGAAATACAAAAAGTCATGAATGATCAGGAGGGAAAAAAAAAATCAGGAAGGAAAGTAGCAACCAATGCGGATTTTCTGGGATATTTTTTTTTTTTTCTATTCAAATTTTTTTTTTTTAAGTTATTTCCCCTTCCTTCCTCCCTTCCTTCCTTAGCATTAAATCCGAACCTGCAGCGCGGCAGGCGGGGGCGCGTGGTGTTCGGCTGAAGCCGGTGGGAAGCAGGGCGCCGCATCCCTTGCCAAAGGGGCTCTTGTTTGGAGCCCTGTCTGCAGAACAAAGGCCCCGCGGGCTGAACGGAGCAGGCTTTTCAAGGGGGAAAAGAGCAAAATAAGGAACGCGGGTTGCTTCTTTTTTCCCTTTTTATTTTTTTCGACTTCAAAACGCCGTTCCCTTGCCTCCCGGGCAAGCGTGCTCATCCCAGGCAGGAGTGTGCCCGGGGTCCAGCTGGTGCGGCTTCGCCTGGGTACATACTGCTGTATTCCCCGCTCCCCCCAGTGCCACTATGGTTGCCTTTTCCTTCGGCCCAAAGGAAAGACTTGAAGCAACTTTGCCACTAGTGTATCACGGCCTTCTGCAGCCCCCTCCCCTCATGGGCAGAGGGGCTGCGCGGTACCCCCGGGGCTGCCCCCCCCACCCTTGGGTGTCCTTGTGTAGCATATATCTATCCCGCTTTAGGGCAGGATTTGGGAGCTCCCACCCCTCCCAAATCCCACTCCAACCACGTGTAGCAAGAAACCCCCATCCATCCCAGAGCCGTCGTGGATCGTCGTACCGAAAAAGCATCCCCCCCAGTACTGCCCCTTCCTCTGGCGTCCTGGGCCCTGTCCCCAGCGTTGCCCTCTGGTCACCCAATGCCATTACACTTCCCGTTCCCCCTCGCTGTGAACTTCCTTTGTTGTACGTGTTGCTGTAGTTCTTCTCTCTTTTTTTTTTTTAATAATTATTATTATTATTATTATTTCTTACTGGAGTAAGAAGAACAGTAATGCCATTTGATTAGAAGAAAAAGAAAATAGAGAAAAAAAAAAAAAAAGAAAAAAAAGCGATCTATATATATATACGCACACATATATATATATATATATATATAAGGGGGGGTGGGAAAATGAGAGGAAAACAAAGGCAAAGCAGCATTAACGTTCTCCAGTGTGTGTGCGCGTGTGTGTGGGGAGGGTGTCCATGTTATATCACCTCATTTAAGTTACCTGTAATTAAAAAACGGAAAAAAGATTAAAAAAAAAAAAATCATGGTTTAAAAAATAATAAACGCAGAATAAACCCAGTGTGCCTCCGTCCCCGCGTGTTGGCCGGAGCCGGGTGCTCCCGGGAGCGCCTGTTCAGCCGGAGAGGGCGGGCAACACCGGCTTGTCCAGGTGGACGGGTGGTGGGAGCTGTTTTGATCTGCCCGCTTTGGTGCAAATGTGTGTGCCACGGTGTGATGGTGGCAGGGACTGGAGGGAGTCCCTGATACAGCCTGGTTTCCCAGACTTGGTTGAGTCACTTAATCTCAGTCAATCAGGCCCAAGACTGCTCAGCAAAACACGCGTGCTCCTTTTGGGGGTGTGGGGGGCGAGCCCCCATCTTCGCCAGGCTTCCCCACACGCGGGCAGGGGCCGCCTCGAAACCTAGGCCGGCTCCCAGCCTCGAGGCAGCGCGGGAGGGCACGAGGAGGGAATATCCTGACTTCGCTTCCTTCCTACGCATTACTCAGCCCGCCCCCCACACCCCAACCCCGGGCTCGGGGGCAAGGGGGGACCCCACTTTGGGTGCTGATCTTTGCATGGAGCTGAGCAAGGGGAAAAAGCCAGAGGCGCCGAAGCAGCTGGACCTGCCCTTGCAAGATGCATGGGGCCCACGTGCTCGGGGGGATAGAGCCTTTCCTGGCCCCACATTTCCACGCCTGGGTCCTGCTCGCAGCACCCCACAGCTTCGAACGAGCTTCATGGGCCGAGATGGCAGCTGCCACGTCTGGGAGAGCCAGGCTGGCATGTCCAGCCCCTGGCACTCGGCCGGTTCCCCGTCACGGGGGCTGTGGAGCCCTTGGGCTCTGACCTTATGAGCCGGGGGAGCCGGGGACCCTGCCCAGAGCTGGCCGTGAGCTCCTCTCCTGCTCCCCAGCCTGGACGCGTGGCCTCGAGCCCCGTCTCTTCCCGGCTTTGGCTGCGTGGCGCTTTCACCTGCCTGCTCTGACCTTGCCCCGAGCCCAGGATGGCTGGGATCACCTGGGTCATCGTCATCATCGCATCCCTTGCTGTAGCCAAGATGCCAGGAGGCTTTACCCTCGGCATAGCCCGTGGCTGGTGAAGGTGGGACCCCTCTGCCACGCTGCTGAGGGCAAAGCAGGTCTCTTGTACCATGCCAGGGCACTGGGCAGTGCAAGCCGTTGGCACCGTGCATTGCCGCAGTGATGGGAAGTATCCCACCCGCTAGGTCACCCACCAAGAGGTGACCGACTGTGACCAACAGCCAGCACAAACTAGATCCCAGCAGATCAGCGTGGGCAGCGCCCGGGGCGTGGATGGCAAATGCATTGCCTGGACGCCCCAAGGCAGGCGAGGCCCCCGTGATCCAGGAGATGGCACGAGCAGGGCACCCCCCCCGGCCCAGCGTGTGGATTTGACATGCACGCATGCATAGGCACACGCTGCGCCCAGGCTCAGCCTCCCACCTCCATGCACCGAGCGCGGTACCACCCAGGCACTGACACGAAAGAGTGAGTAACCCTTGCATAAGAGGCCTCTCCCTACGTCAGCGCCATTGGGGCAGGGTTTTCCCCCGCCCCTCCCTAGCACTTCCCACCCGGCCCTTTCTGGAGGGGCCCCGTGGGCAAGAGCCGGCCAGGGACCCGCATGCGGCGTGGCATCGCCGGGGGCTGCCGCCCGGGCTGGCGTTTCCTTCTGATGGGGCTAACGCCAGGGGAGCAGCCCCTTGCCCCCCACCTGCTCCCCTGCCCGGAGCCCTGGCCCCCGGCCGGCCCTCCCGTGGGAGGCTGCGGGGCTGAGGAAGTGGCCGTGGGCTGGCGGGGTGACAGTGCGGGTTTCGCTGCGTGAGATGAGCCGAGGCCCAAGGGGAGAAGGGAAATCCTGGAGCTGCCTTGCTGAGAAAGCCTGGGCTCCTCGTCCCCATGCCGCCCGCACAGGAGCTGTGTTGCAACCTCCCACCCGGGCGGTGCCCAGCCGCTGGCCGGGTCAGGCATGAGGAAGAGAAACTCCCAACAGCTTTTGTGCGTCTCCTCCCCTGTGGGAGGGTTGGTGGGGGGAAGTCTCACCCTCCCCTCCCTGTGGCAGCCCTGCCTTTGCTCCCCGGGCCCCATGCGGGCGGGTACTTTCACCGCGCAGGTGGTGCCCGGGGTTGCGGCTGCCCTGAGAACAGGCTGGGCCGGCTCTTCTCCATCCCACGCTCCCCCGGCGCTGGACTGTGCCTCCTCCTCCCTGAGCCCCAGCTGGAGCCGCGGCCCCCTTGTCGCGAAAGGTCCCGGGAGGTGCCCCGGGTCGTCGGGGTGCAGCAGTGGCAGAGACCGGCTGCCCGCTCTCGTCCTGGGGTGCCATGCTGGGGGTCGATGGGCATTCAAGGGAGGGAGAGACCGAAAGCGGAGCAGGCCCCCCGTGCGCAGCCTCAACCTGGGGCCCATGAGACCTGGCTGGGCTGCTTTGCCCCGGTGGGTGGCACCGGGCCCCTGTCTGGGCGCTGCCCCAATTGCCCTTCCCTGCAAAGCGTGGGCAGGAGAGGAGCGGTCGCAGGCTCTGTGGGGCTGAGGGTGGTTGCAAAGGGTTGCCCCCCTCTCCCGAAACCCACCAGGAACCAGTACGGAGCAAACTGGGCAAACCAGTCCCTGGCCTGCTCTCCCGCTGACCTCTCCCTGCCTCTGCTGCTCCCAGGGGCTGGGCGGGAGGTTCTGGTTATACCAGCCCAGCCTGT